CACACACACACACACACACACACGGGAGGTATCGCCACAAAATAGTAAACATTGGTACAAGTTGAAATGGTAGTAGGGTTTCGCAACATACAGTAATGAAGTCCCAAATCTCTTGTGCCTGAAGTACACCCAGCAATAACACTGAAATGTTTTTCTGCAACACTTCACAGAAATAGATTGCAAATAGTCACTGCTGTGGGAACTGATTCAGATTCTGTTCGGGACACCATGATTTCTCCGGGGAGCATGCCCTATTATGAGCTAGAGCTGATTCTTTTAAAAAATGATAACTGGATCACAAATTGTTCTTGGGCAGTCCAGACCTCCTAGGGCACGCTTGGACTCACAAAAAATGGACTGAGAAAGCCACTAAAAACAACAACAAAAGAATACAGGAGGTGACACTTTTTTCTGACCGAGTATTATGTTCTGATCACTCTGACTCTACCACCTTTGACCTTCGGCATAATTTATCTTAGTCAAACAAATACTTTTACACTTTAAAGCAAATTTTCCACTATGACCTTTTGACATAATTTCCTCATCGACATATTGATTTCTGGACTTATCACTGAACAAATGGACAACACAGTTAAAAACAAGTAGCACGTTTGAGGACGAATGATGACAGTATAGAAGCTGAAGGTCTTCTAGAGCTATTTTCTATATAAAAAATATATTTATTTATAAACATACATATATATTAAATATCATATGTTATGGCTGTTTTGTGTATGCCAGAATAACTGCAGACTGAAAATATTACTTTTAAGTAACATTTGTCAGTAAGTTAAAAGTAACAATTTTGGTATGTGTATAATTTATATGAATATGTTAACTGTAAGTTAATGCAAATATTAAATCAGGAACTCAATGCATTAGGCATGTATACATGGTCAAGACAACATGCTCTTCAAACCAAGCATGAGAATTAGGAATAAAGGTGATTTAAATAACTTCAAAAGCGCACGGTTGTTGGGGCCAGACAGGCATGCCTGAGTAATTCAGAAACTGTTGATCTGCTGGGTTCTTTCCTCAGGCCGTCTCTGGGGCTTACAGAGAATAGTCTGAAAATAAGAAAATATCCAGTGATCTGGGTGAAAATGTCATTTTGATACCAGAGGTCAAGAAAGAATGGCCATACCACTTTGATCTGATATGAAGGCAAAAATAGCTCAAATACTTAAGCTAAGGTATATATACGAGCATCTCTGAAAAATACAAGAACGCTTGGATCCATTGGAGGTATCAAAGATTCAGGCTAGTGGTGGTGTAAAGTTGTATGGGATTTTGTCTTAGGACACTTTGGGCTCCTTACTACCAACTGAGCATCATTTAAACACCACAGCCTGCTGATGGAATCTTTCAGCAGGATAACACACCATGCCACAAAGCTCAAATCATCTCAAACTGGAGTTCACTGTACTCAAATTACCTCCACAGTCACTGGTAATTTTACCAATTTAAAAAATAATTTTACAATTATTTCATTAATCGTATCATTACGTTCGCGTTTAAAATTGTTCATAGCATGAAACATCTGAAAATAGTGTTTATGGGTGGACATCATCACACTAACGCCTACAGCAATAAAATGATCTCAACAGCGCCGCCCGATGGACAAAGTGGGACTAACATCACTGCACACGTTGCTAAAACGACAGTCCCGCTCTCTGCTGAAACTTTGGCGGCGCCACCATCAAGGCGCTCGTTGTGATACACAAGAGCTACCGAAGGGGCGGGCTTCTAGAATTAAACGGAAAATGTCGATTTGACTCCTCCTATCTTCCGTCGCCAGATCTTGTGAACAAAACAAACGAACAACAGTGACGCAGAGCCCTCTTTTTAAAAAACAATCTGGTTTCCGGAAGTAGCGATAAAGAGTTACGAAACCAGACTCCTTTGTTACACGTTAGTAATCTAATAACGTTGCATTAAGTCGTACACAGCTCTGGTTAATTAAAGCGAATACTAAGAGCTCCACCGTAGTGAGCGGATATTTTTTAATTAGCATTTTTGTTCTTAATTATAGCTATGGCCATAACTAATAACGTTTAGCTTCGTAGTGGTTAGATTAAACTAATTCAGAACTTGTGCCACACATAAACTGTTCGTCCCGTCTCATGGGAACCTCTTAGCTCCGTCTGGGTGTAATGACATGACCTGTACATAACAAATGTTATGCGGGGAGAAATTCTCAGGAAAGTACTGGGCGAGGGGCAAGTCAGCTAACAGACTGTGTGTTCAATGGACAGAGGCAGCGAAGACGACGCGCCTCCCGATGAAAATTGTGGATGCCATGCAGCCAGCACGGAAGACGGAGAGGTGGAGGTTACACCTGCATGCAGCCTTTCAGGTGGAGTTGCAGAAATTTTGGCCCACGGAATCTGGGGACTTTTGAATCAGGAACAGGAGAGGATGACTGGCCCCACTATGTTTGGAGAGCAGGGAGATGTTGTTGATCCCCCCTCTGTGTCTCCCATCAGCCTTATGGATACCTGTGCTCCCTCCATATCCACCCTTCCCTCCTGCTCATACTCCTCCAGCCGTCACACCGACTTTTCCTCCTCATCTTCTTCTCCCTTGTCCTTGTCTCCACCCTTGCCTCCTTCCGTGGAGCTTTCAGCTGTGTTGACTGATACAAGATTGACCCTGGATGTGTACCGGGGAGGTGCAGCTGCATTGCCCCTCCTTTGGGAGTCCATCCCGGGGCAGCTGAAGGGCCTTCAGTACCTGAGGCTGGGCTCTGAGGAAAAAGCAGGGCTGGATGGTGCACTGGATGTCCTGTCCCATCTGACAAAGCTACGATCACTGGCTATTCGGGGTACTTTTTTCATAAATTTATTTCAGTGTCATCTGCTTGTCACCATACTTGTTTCATTGCATTTTAGTTGTTGCCTTTAGTTAAGTTAAACTATGTAATACTGTGTCATAGAATGATAATTCTTCTGTGATTCTCTGTCTTTTTCTTCTGCTCTAATTGCATTTTTCTTTCTAACTAAAGGACACTGTTTACATGACTCAAGAGGTGACCCCCTGCCTGGCCTCCTCACCACCTTACCAGCATCTGTTTCCTTACTTTCCCATCTGGTGCACCTGGATCTCTCCTTCAACCAGCTCTCCTGTTTACCATCCTGTCTGCTTAGCCTTTCCATGTTGTCCTCGTTGCTCCTCTGTCACAACCACCTCTCGGCTTTGCCCTCTGATATAAGCCAGCTTTCCTCCCTCACCTACCTCTCCCTCCTGGGGAATGAGCTGGTGTCTCTCCCCCCGGGTCTGGGTCAACTGAAAGCACTACAGACTCTGGATGTGTCAAATAACCTCCTCCAGGAGCTACCTGACGAAATTGGTTCACTGGAGGAGCTTGTTAAGCTGGAATTGTCCCAGAACAAGCTAAAGCAGCTACCAGAGAGCATGGGTAAGGGCATAAGGGTGAGTGGGTGTGTCTAGTGAAAAATCACTTAATGTAAGATAAATTGGTTCCGGAGCAATTCAAAAAAAGTAACATTGTCTTTTTTTTTGTTGCCCAGGTTCTCTCCTTTCACTCAGGGAACTTGTCATCTACAGCAATGACCTCCGTCTGATCCCACTCTGTCTGAACAAACTGCCTCTGCTTAAAATAGACGTCCGTGACAATCCCCTGGGACGACCTCCAACTCCTCCTCCTCTCTCTCCTACACCTGGTGACCAGAGAAAAACAGGAGCTTAAAATCGATTAGAGCTCAATGTATTTTGATCCTGAACATGCAGTGCTGAACTTTGTTTTTAGCATATTAACTGTGTTTTATTCTCACCAGATGAAGCAGAAACAAAACTCCCAGAACTGCACATTGGGTTTAATCAGCACAGGTACAGTGTCACTCATAGCAAGCTCATATTTTCTCATTCTTTGAAATAATACCGTTAGTTAAATTGATACAAGCTATATTTAAAAAAAAAAGGTTTGATGCTCCTTTTGCTCTTTAGTTTCTGCATTTCGTCTGCCGGGTGTCACGTGTTCCTCCCAGGGGGGGCTGAGCTGGTGTTCCCCCCAGGATGCATAGTGACAGCCACAAAACTGGCCTGGGCCGAGAAGAGGCCACAGCGAAAGTGGGTACAGCTGGAGGAGCATGAGATCCTTCTTAGTCGTCCGCTGGAACTTCGTCCTCATGGAGTCACATTTTTAAAGGTATTTTAAAGCGTATAGGAACACTCCATAACTATTTAGTTATCATGATTTGGTAGTTTGTGATTTGCGGCTGTGGAGAAACCAAACTTTACCTCTGTTTACATATTTGTTTAGAACCTTAGTTATTTACGCACTCGGGTAAACATGACCAACCTAGTTCTTTTGTAATATTAGTTATACAGTCATCAGCCACTTTATTCGTTTCACCTTGTTAGTACCAGGTTTGACCCCCTGCCTTAATTCTTCATGGCATACATTCAGCACAGTGTTATACATTTTGGTACAAATTGACACAATAGCATCACACAGTTGCTGCAGATTTGTTGGCTGCACATCGATGATCCGAATCTCCCGCTCCACCACATCCTAAAGATGCTCTACTGGATTTAGATCTGGTGACTGTGGAGGCCATTTGAGTACAGTGAGTTCTTTGTCATATCCAAGAAACCAGTTGCTGGAAGCAGGAATCAGAAAATTGGTACACTGTGTTCATAAAGAGATTAGTCAGCAGTAAGACTTATGTAGGCTGTGGTGTTCAAATGATGCTTACTTGGTAGTAAGTTGCCCAAAGTTTACCAAGAAAAGAATTCCCAAAAAACTCATCAGACCAGGCAATGTTTTTCCAGTCTTCCACTGTCCAATTTTGGTGAGCTGGTACAATTGTATTCTCAGTTTCCTGTTCTTAGCTGTGAGGTGTGGCACCCGATGTGGTCTTCCACTGCTGCTAACCATCTGCTTCAAGGTTTAATGTGTTGTTCATTCAGAGATGTTCTTCTGCATACTTGGTTGTAACGAGTAGATATTTGAATTACTGTTTCCTTCATATCAGCTCAAAGGAGTGTGGCTGTTCTCCTCTGGCCTCTGATATCAGTAAGGGATTGAGCAGGTGTACCTAATGAAGTGGCTGGTGAATGTATGTATCAAACCCTGGGCCATTTCTCTATGTTTGTTTGCACGTTAGGTTAGCAGGTGCCATAGCTGTGGATGTGAGGTAGATAATGGGCTTAAAATGCACAAAATAAAGCACTGTATGAATGTGTGAATGTGACTAGTAACTTGAGTGGTTTCCATCAAATATTTGCTATTTCCTATCTGTTTCTTTCTTGCACTTGCATGAGATAAATGCATCTCACCTCTAAAATGCTTACAGCCTGTGGAGGTATGTGTGCCATATCACCGGACGAAAAGAAAGGAGGTGGTGGTGCGGACGTTTGATGGACAGTCATGGAGTACTTTGCCCACTGAGCTAAGGAGAGGAAGTGAGAGCCATAGCAGTCGCCCTGGGGGACGTCCAGCCAGGGTAACCCATAAAACATGCTACTGCAAATGGATATTATTACAATTATTTTTTTGTCTTGGACAAACAGTATTACTATATTAGTGGTGAAACTGGCTTCTTTTTGTACCTTTAGCTGGCATGCTGCTCAGTGAACCACTTTTCTTGGTTTATGGCCGTGTCTCGCCCAGTAAAGGACAGCTGCGCTGTCACACCAGCCGGAGGCTTACTGGTGTCAAGTGCTGATCCTGGAGTAAAGCTTCACTTTCCTCCGGATTCCACAGTGGAGACTCGCACCATCACTTTACAGGTCAGCTAGCAGCAGTACCTACACATGATTGACATCACTGTTCTTGTCTGGTCTGCAAGACTTTGGTGTTTCCTGATTTGCAGGTGTTGCAGGTGTCTATGTCAGACGTGCAGGCGCTGTGCGGTGATCCTCAGGCCAGAGTCAGCCCCCTGCTTTGTCTCTCCCAGACTACCAGCATGCATTTTCTACAGCCAATCAAAGTTCAGATTCCCCTGCCATCTGGTGTCACCGGTACATTAGGCCCTCCTGATGCTCACGCATGTGTGTAATAACACATTAAATTAGTGTGTATTAATGTTTTTCTCCCTTTCTTTGCAGGCCATACAGTTGATATGTCCTGTTTGCATCTGCTCCATGGAGATCCCACTGCCCAAACCTGGACTGACATCACAGCACAAGTCTCTCTCTATGTTACCCATTTGTATGCCATTTTCTACATTACGCATTTCTCCTGGTAAGGGTCAGCTCTATATCACCATAAAGCACTTTTGAAATGTAATTTACAGTGTAGGATTATAATGTGTGTACCACTACAGGTACTGGCTCTGGTATACTACACAGCGCTGCGTCAGTGGGGCGGTCAGGAAGATCTACCAGAGGTTAAAACAGTTCAAAGTCCAGTTCCTGGTCCTCCAGAGGAAAACTGATCCTTCACAGGTTCTGCTGCAGTGCTTACCTTCTAACAAGGTTTGTGGTGATTTTTTTTTTCCTGTGTTGTCACTGTGCACAGAGTCAGCCACTGTGGGTGGTGTCATAGCCTTGGTAGTGTATGACTTTGAACTGATTTGTTTCTGGTGTCAGCCACTAATCAGAAGGTCGGTGGTTCGATCCCAGGCTGCATCCTGGCTGTATGCCAAATATCCTTGGGCAAGATACTAACCCCGTGTTTGCCTACTGGTGGTGGTCAGAGGGCCCGGTGGCGCCTGTGTCCGGCAGCCTCGCCTCTGTCAGTGCGCCCCAGGCCAGCTGTGGCTACAATGTAGCTTGCTATCGCCAATGTGTGAATGGGTGAATGACTGAATGTAGTGTAAAGCGCTTTGGGGTCCTATGGACTAGAAAAGCGCTATACAAATGCAGGCCATTTACCATTATTTTTTGTGTAAACTGCATGCTCAGGTGCTAAGCAATGGTTGTGGTGTTTCCTGCACAGGTAGAGAGCAGAATGCAGTCTTTGACAGAACAATATGATGGACCCCAGCCTTCAGACCTGTGTGACCTGCTGGAAGGAGAGCAGTTCTTTGCTGGCTTTGAAAGAGGCTTAGAAATCAGCACAGGTATGAAGCCTTAGAGAAACTTGTTTGAGGTTGATTTGGAGTTTTTATCAAATCTACTGTACTGATCACATGGTCGCCACTGCTCACACAGTGAGCTAAACTGGCAACCCTGATACAGATAAGTGGAAGAAGATGGATGGTGTTTTTATATCATTAGTGAACAGAGCAGACTATACCATTATGGCATTTTCTCCTCTGAACTGTATTGTCAGCCAGGGTAACCAATCTAAGGGAGAAATCCCGTCGTCCTTCAGCATGTGTGGGGTGAAGTTGTCAGATATAGGAATCACAACCAAGATTTACATAATATTTGCAGCACATTCATAGATAACTATGTAATCAGATCAAAAAGCTTCATTTCTATGTTGCAATGGTTTCAGACTCAATATTTCATAGTTTGCTTTGGGCTTGGGTTAGGTCCTCTGTTCACTGTTTCACCTTCTGTGTGCATTTATTCTTCTCCTCTGCTCCCCTCCCTGCTTGTCACAGTGAAACAGACACATAGGAGCAAAGAAGGGGAGAAGAGGAACAGTTAAAACATGGCTCAAAATAACACAACCTATTTTGTTGCTGTAAATTTTCTTTTACCACCAAAGCGCTAAACCTTTTTAAATGTTTTGTTTGTGATGACATTTTCATTGACTTAAAGGTTACTTTTCCCCAGGAATACAATGTCGCTGTGTTTTGGAAATCGCGATTTGAAAATTAACTACTAGATTTGCACACGATAAACAGGACAAAGGTCATTTTAAAGGAGAATCAATTATCTTCTTGGAAAAAAATTAAATATGTGTTTAAACCTATACAGATGATTCTTTTAAGGATTTAATCAATGCCAGGAGAAGGACTTTAGCTTGTTTGTCTTTTCTTCCGAGGTCTTATGATGTGCGGTTGTGTAATGATTGCCCTGACATAACTTTTTGTCTCACACTGATATTTCCCTGTTTTTTTCCAGATAGACCAGACTGTGTGGGGGGAAGACTCTGTTTCGAGTTTTACTCCAGCCTGAAGAATCTGAAGGAAGTGTATATCTGTTCAGCACAGGGTCAGAAGGGACCAGTGAGGGGGCAGGTAAGTCATAGAATCAAAACTTGTGGTCAAGAGTTTTAGTCTATAGCAAAAGCTGAACACTTAATGTGAGGTATGGATTTTTAAGATAGCACAACATTACATACATACACCCCACATACCTTTAAATCTGTTGGTTTAAAAAAATGTGTGGAAGCACATGGGAATTGATATAATTTCTCTATGAATGGCCTCAGAAGACCCCACTCTGTTAAAAGTAGACAGCTGAAGGACCTTACCTTTGGGGAGACGAAGGTAAAGTAAATACTAAAAAAGATACACATTCTCTTGAGGCATATATCATCTTCTCAGTACTTCTCAGATGTCCCATGGCTTAGTTCAGAGATAATAAATCTCTTTTCACATGTTTTCTTTAGAGCAACATGAAGCCAAAGATAGCAAGAAAGTAGTTATCCCCAAATGTGTGTGGGAGGTGAGGTGTGCCTGATTTGCTTCACTGATATCTATCTGTGTGTCCTTTGTGCCAGGTACCTATTTAGGTGGACCTATAAATCCAAATTTTAAGCCTGACAGCTGAGATTTGTCAGAAGACTACACTTTCTTTAAAAATGGTTCTTTTACAGCTTGTACCTTCCTAGGATACCTAAAACAGTTGATTGAAAACTAATGAAATTCTCTGTTGCAATTGCTCACCATTAGAATATTAGATATTGGTGGTCTCTCTCCCATTATTTCCTAATGGATGTAGTGCAGTTTTTATGGAAAGGGGAATAAAAAGGAAAAAGCCTTCTGTTTTAGTTCCTTCTAGTAAACTCACTGGTGCTTCCTGTGTGCTTGTATATGTCTGGATAATGTCTGTTATGAGTAAGATATCCAAGGAGAAGACTTGTGCTCCTCGCATGGTGAATAAGAGAACATTTTTAACGGAGGCATCTATGTGGAGAACTGGTTTATTGACAAAGATCTGTCCTCGTCAGCTTTACTCTGTGGAGCTCACATGGGAATGCCGTAGTACCCTACTCAATCTTTACTGGCAACCCAATGAACATCAGTCTGGAACTGCAAGCGTGTTAGGCAGAGAATTACACACTTCACCCACTTCACAATGATAATAAAGAATCGCATCAGTTTCGGCGTGGCAATAAAGAAACTCTTCCTCGCTGCCCTGCGGTGTGCTTGCTCCATTATTTGAGGGCAATTTTGGTTTAACTCAATAAACCGTGGACCCTGGGCTATCAATTTAAAGGAATTGTTATTCTAAACTGGAAACAGTGTAATCCAGCCTGTTTTTCCAAGGAACCACAGAGCGACCAACAACATAAAACTGTTCTCAGGGGCTGATATATAATACTTCTTGCCCAATGGAGTTTGTGTCTAAAGGAGATTAATTCCTAATAAATGTTCTTGTTGATTATAATGAATCACATTTAAAAAGGTAAATGTGCTTTATGTGTTTTATGGTTAAACAGGTTTTGGACAACACTGATAATATGCTCTGCACCTCTGTTACAGGTGTCCTTTTATAGAGGGGAGATTCCCAGCAACCTGCCAGAGGAAGTAGCCAGAAAGAGGAAAGGACTCGACAGCCAGTGGCTTACAACTTTACCTCTAAGACTTCCTGTCAGTTGAAGAGATGGATCCTATTTTATTCTTATCTTAAAAGATGTTATTGCATGTAAAATGTTCTGTCTATATACATTATTATTAGTTTCTAAACTAGACTCTTGTTAGTACAGAAAAACGTTTTCTAAGCATTATTTCAGAGGAGGCTTTCTCCCTATGCTCTAAAGGGACCACTTTCTTTATTGTTCTTGTAGGCTCTAAACTCAGAGAACACTTTCATCATGGAGGAGGTCGAGTATCCTCCTCTGAACCTGGGTGACCCTGAGAGTGGCTACCTGACAGAAGCCAACCTGCTGTCCATCTCTCTTCAGATAGCACAAGACTGGCGTGTTATTGGCCTCAATCTGGGCTTGAGCTATCAAGAACTGGAACGCATCCAGTACAAGAACAGGTAGGACTGAACAATCATGTTCACTTAGAATTACTTAAGTGAAGACATTTGGCTTTTCCACGTGGAAGCTGCACATTTCAGTCGAGCTTGAAGGTGTTGATTTTAAATCAGTAATGTCAAATACATTTTTTAATGTTTTATGAACCTCCAAATAAGTCAGTAACTACTCTCAACTTTTAGGTGAGTGAATGAAGTGATAATCAGTGGTGCTCAAAAATACCCCTGAATGACAGAGTAGGAAATTCACTAGAGGGTTACCCAAGCAACCTCATTCTGAAATCTCTGTGATCTGTGTATCTATCTATAAATTCTGTCTCAAATTATTGTTAATAATATATGAATAATTTGGTAATGGGTGCCATATAAAAAATAAATATGTCAAACTAAGTCATTTACATTTTTAGCCAAGAGAGAGCTAAAAAAAAGAAAAGGAGGAAAGTACATTTGTTGAGTGAGTGATCACACATCATGGCACAGTCAAAGCTTTGCCAGGAACAAGATGGCGTGAGATGTATGTAACAGGAGGAAAATTCCCGGAGTGGGAGAGACATGCTAGTGAATTTTGATTGTTTTAATCTGCACTGCCATCACGAAGCCATCTGGGACACTGCAGGAGATTACACACAGGCTGATGCTCATCTGGCCCTCCCCCTTCTCCTCGTGTTCAGAAACCCTCTATTGATTCATCCTGGAGGTGGAAGAAAAACGCATTATGTATGTATGTGTGTGTGTGTGTGTGTGTGTGTGTGTGTGTGTGTGTGTGTGTGTGTGTGTGTGTGTTTTTGCATTTGTGTGTAGGATTTTAATGTACGAATCTATTCACATTTTAATACTAATGTGCGTTAGCTATAACAGGTATAACAGTAGGAGATTAGAGAGTTTACTGTGGGATTTGAACATATATTTCAGTGGTGTGTTTTCCTCCGCTACCAGGGACAATCTGGGTGCCTTGGTCCTGGACATGCTGTTTCACTGGGCCCGGGCGCAGAAGAACGAAGCACCCGGGGCAGTATCTCGGCTGGTGGCTGCTATGATCGAGAGCGGCAGGAGAGACCTGGCCGAAGAGATCGAGGACATTGTCAACATAGGAAAGAGAAAGTACACAGAGTCTTTGAGGAGAGTAGGTCTGGAAGCAGAGAGTTCCTCTCTGGGTGAAAAACAGCAGTAGATGAGCCCATGCTGGACACAGATGGCTGACTTACACTTGAGTGACCTGCTTGTTTACCGTGGGCCTCCACTATCCTGTTCTGTTGTCATCAACTGCAGAAGTGCACAATCATGATAACCGGCTATGTGCTGGTGGCACCTTTCATAAGCTCAACAGAGGAACAGGTGAAATGGATTTACTGTGTAATGGCCTATACCTTGTTTTTAACAAACCAACCCCCCAAGTATGTAAGCATCTAAAGCAGGGATGTTGAGCTCATTGTACATGATGGCCATGCACAATCGACTTTGATCTTCATTTAAGTCATTTAATTATTTAATTTATTTTATTTAATGAATCTATTACCTTGGTGTAAAATGAAGGAACATGTGTTAGGAATAGTAGGAAGAGATGCTCAAAACGTAATAAAATGCAGTTAAAAGTCATAACTTTATGACCTCCTTAACATTTTCCAAAGCTGTCCAGCAGGTTGGATTGGAGTCTTTGCTGGGCAGATTTTGCCCCCTAGGCCTTATGTTTGACAGTCCTAATCAAAATCATCTTAAACTTTTGACTCCATATCTCAAATCTTTAACTTTTTATATATTTGTTTTCTTTAGCACTTTAGAAATGTGTCTCATTCATTTAAAAAAACATCTCATTATTTCAAACCATAATTTCACTATAATTTTGAAAGAGCATTTCATGCTTTTGATTCAGAATCAAATTATAATAACAAACTATAATTATTTTTTAAATATACCAATGACTGGATCTATTAATGTTGTTTTTTTTAATTTCTGGTACCTG